ACTCGCACATGATTACATTATAGAAATTGGGGTTTGTCTCGCATGTTTTTGTGATTAGTAAATGTTTTTTAGCTCTTTATGTATATGTATATAAAAACTACATTTGTATATGAATTAAGTTTTATTCATTTTATGTTTTGTTTTCATAGCCCAGGAGTTCCCTACAGTAAAATTACATTATGGATGCTAGCCACAACAATTCTGAGACTGAGCCATTCGTCGCTGTAAGAAGACGTAACATTCATCGCACAGTGACTGTAGAACCTGCTGTGTTCTTTTTTATGCTAGCTTACTCCACTGGACTTGCACTCAGAGTACAGTATATTCAGTTTGTTGTTTCCGATAATCATAATGTAACTGCATCACTATCTCCAACGGAAGGCGGGTTTTCAGACGTAAATGGATCATGCGTGAAGTTAAATGAAAGCAATCCAAAATACGAGACTAATCTCGCAATTCAGAGAGAATCCTCTCATTGGATACTTTACCTGGATGTTGTCAGTGCTGTGCTTTCGTTTCTCTCTGGTCCGATAATTGGTTCCTGGAGCGACAAGTCTGGACGTAAATTAGCCTGCTGCATCCCAACAGCTGGACTTGCAGTTTGCAACGCTGTTTACCTAATCGTTTATTATTTACATCTACCGCTTGAGTATTTGTTTATTGGGGAAATCATACGTGGAGGAACTGGTAATTTCTTCACAACATTGTCAGGTTTCTTTGCTTACATTGCGGACATCACCACAGAAAAGCAACGTACATATCGCATCGTTATTGTACAGTTCATGTCTATAATCTCGGCTGGATTGGGACAGATTGGTATTGGATTTTGGTTATCTTTGCAGGGGTTTGGACCTCCCTACATGCTAACTATCGCTCTGCTATTATGCACACTACTATATGTGGTGTTTTTGACAACCGAAACAATACTGCCCGACCATTCAACAAAATTCACAGTAAAGCAACTAGTGAAAGATATTACCCTGCTTGTGAGATTGAAAACCAATGGGAGACAGTGGAGACTTGCAATTCTTTCTGTGGATATATTTATCCTTAATCTAATAGTCAATTCTGCATTCAATCTGACCGTACTACATGTTAAAGACTATCCATTCTGCTGGTCGACTATTCTGATTGGCTACTTTGTTGCAGCTCAGCTGGTGCTCAACGCCCTGGGTAATTATGATATTTTTTATTGATTTATATTGATCAACAGTGGCTTACATTACGCTGAACTTATTATTATTAAACTTTATTATAAAAGTAAATATAAAAAATACAACATCCCATATCAAGACACATTCCAAAAAAACCTGTAAAATCTGTATTAGAAACCACTTCTTCTATTAAAATGGTACGATGCAACAGATGGGATGCGGCTTCTATTAGAGCATTTACACTATGAGAAATGATGAATTTTTGGTTCTCAATTGTTCAAAAAAATTAGTGTGACTTCTATTAGGGATGTTGCTTCTAATACAGATTATACGATAATTATTTTCAATATATAATATTACTATACAAAATGTGCTACGATATTTAACGATTGTATATTGCTATTATACAATCACACATGAAATTTATACATCAAGTTGCACCTGAGAGCCATGGCAATGCATTTTGAAAACTTACAAAGTGCATTAGCATATGAATAAAATAATTGCATTTGACACGTAATACCAAGATTATCAGAAGGATTATAACCAAAATAAAAAACAAATACAAATACAGTAACAAATCTTGTGTTGGTCTTGGACTAGTTTGTGATTAAAAACTTGGGGAAATATACTTTTGAATTTAGAATATCAAAGTACCTATTCTTAAGAAATTTCAGAACATATAAGTGATATGTTTTAAAAATGGCAACAACATAATGCCCAAGCTTTTGGGAAAAGAAATAAAACATCAGCATGGAGTTCTGAGTATATCTTTTTATGGGTTTCAAGTATTGAGTGTCATCAGGTGAGACATTTTGTCTTAAAAGTTGCACTCTTAGAATATTTCTATAGTTGTATTGGGGTCTGGGGATATTACGTGGAATATTTAATGGTCTGAATTTTTGGGAATTGAACATATGT